ATTGTGTTGTTCATCAGCAGTTGACTCCTAGCAGAAAGCAGCAACACAAAGAATCCCCAGCCAGTAGGGCCCTTAAGGACAGGCTCGGCCGGTAGCATTGCCAGTTGCGTGGCTGGTAGAGTGGCCAGTAGAAATGGGATTAAAATATACCGGCTAGAAAGGGCCTGGCCTCTAGAAAAAACGGACAGCAGTGGACGTCGCACCTTAGCCTTGGACGAGGATGAAGAAGCCAAAAAGATGTCCTGGCCTTGTGCTCCTTAGCCTTCACCAGTGCGGGGGAGCTGGAGGCTGGGACGGCTGGAAGTACAGCCGGGCAGGGTCCCCCGAATGGTCGGTCGTATCCTGCGAGGAGCGTCCAAGGTCAGGATCGGTGGTCTCATGACCAGAGTCCATCGGCAGATAGGAGCTGCAGATGGGGTATGGCAGACGAAAGCCACGGGGTAGTGTTGCGGCACAGCACGCTCAACCCCAGCCTCTTCACTCCATTGGGACTCTCCTTGTCGATGCCGTTAATCAGATAATGCAAACCGCACCACAAAGGAGCGGGGCAGCCCTCCAAGCCCCACTCCATGGCCAGACCCATATATAGCGTTGGGTCGTTATTATTCGAATGCACGCACTACATTGAGAACAAAGGGATGTCCCCCCCTGTTCCATACACATACACAACACACTATGGTACATGTAGGTCATAACCAAACCTGTAGATGATGCACAGAAAAAAAGGGGGCAGAAAAGAACAAAAAAACACAGCATGCAAAGTACATGTACAAATACGAAAGTAAGCACTCTTACCAATAGATAAGAAATCACTTTTTATTCATAAACAGAAATCAAATCTATTCACAAACGTGAAAGGTTACAGAACTCGAAACTCCGAAAATACCATAAAGACACGTCCGTAAACAATAGACGCTGAGAAACGGACGAACGTGGCGGCGGGACCACAGTACATTGTGGAGGGTAAAGGGGCAGTATGCATTTATAATCAAGTCTTTTCCACAAATTATAATAGGCACATGGGAAATTTGCATACATGTATGTACATGTTGGCTGGGCATGAGTATGTGAACACAGAAGACTACATGTTTACAGGGTAGGTTCCAGAGGGAGTTTTGATACTACCAGAAAAACTACCGCCCGGCACTGCAGCAAGGTGAATACTCACCGCTATGAAATCATCAGGTCGTGTATCATTTCTACTTCCCAGGCGTGAGGTGAAATTGGCCAATGATGCGTGCTGATGTGCTCATGAATATTTATGAGGTGAAGGAAACCCTGATCCAGATTTGACTTTTCTGACTTGGTTCTTAGATGTGGTGGAGAATCTAGCAACTCTCTGGTTTTTAGTCGGGAACATATATGTAGCATCACACATTTCACGACGTGGCATCTTTCTGTCAACGGATATTTTGTTTGGAATCATGAAAAGAATCATTAAACCATGGTGAGTGTGGCTGGGAAGTGGCTGGGTTATTAACCACTTTGTGCCGGGTTAATTAAAAAACAGATGCTTCATAGCTGTTCTTTTCATTGACATGATCTTTAGATTTACATCGCCCCTGCCACAATTTTCACGCCCCACCCCAATTTTTTAACAATTATTTACACTGGTTTTTCCCATCAAAAATGTATTTTCCGACAAGTGCCTCACCAAATCATCAGCTAGCTAGTGTGGGCCAAGCTGCTGTCATATGGTGTGGAATGGCATTTTAAGGTTGGAATTCTGGATCTATCAAATGCTTAACTACTGGTTTGTCAGGTATACGTACAGTCGAACACGAATAACACGAGCACACTTGAGACGAGCATACATGTATTTCTTCAGTCCCTTTCAAAATGTACACATTCCTATGAGAGAAAACCTACTTAATACGAGTTACATGTATGCCAAGACGAGAACACGGACAAGACGAGCACTTTTGCCTAATCGGCAGTGTCAAAAAAACCATTGTCCATGGCATTTTTAATATGAGTACAATTGAAAAGCGTCTTCAAAAGCTTAATCCTAGTAAGTAATTCCTGATGTCGGCCATCTCGGCTGTATGCATTGTGGACAGCATACGGACATCTTTTTTGACTGTACATATATGTGTACTCTTTCAAACCCATTAACACATGGATGTGTCTGTGAAGAGTTAAAGTTAAAGAGTTACAGTTTTTTTTACTACGTATTACTGTTCTTCACGAAGCACACACAAAATCAGATTTTTGTGCAATTTTTTATGCATGCTACCTGTGCAGTGTTTGCTTCCTGAATGACAGCTGACAGTACATGTATTAGACAGGGGTGAAGCTAGGGTGTATTTATGTAAATGTGTATGCATAATTAGGCATATTGGGGGAATTTTTAAATACATACTAATGCTTTGCAATTGATATGATAAGAGAGAGAAAAAATTAGGAACTCAGTTGAAAAAAAGTATCAAAATCGAGTAAACCATTCTGAAGTTAGATTTTTAGGTATTTAATTTTAGTGATTTTCTTGAAACAATGCCTATGGAAATACTATGTATAACATTGGCACTGTAGGCAAAAATAGTACAAATAAGCAATGTAGTTATTTTGTGTCATCTTTAATCTCTGTATCTTTCTTATTTGTCAATGTGCAACTTAGTTTTCTCACTACTTTATATATGAATGCCCAACTTCACAAAAATTGAAACAGATTTAACATTTAATATCGGTAATTTTCAGTTGCCATGGCAACCAAATGTGATAAAAGTTGTGTTTTGCCATTTCTTAAAACCATTTAAATGGTTTTACCTTACCTATTTTTCATATCCTAATAGGTTTTATTTTGTACAAAATATCCTGATTCTCAGATTTCATAGTTATGTGTTTTTTCAGAGAAACTGTGAAAATTAACTTTTTCATTCTAAGGGATTTCAATGGCATTTTCCAAGATGCGAACATTTGTTAGTTGATATCTTGAGCCAGTTTCTGCAGAACCCGAGGGATTACTTCCTTTTACTGAAGATTACAATCGTCAATTGCAGTGAGGACCCTTGCAAAGAGTTCGTAGGTCGGCTAGCTAACATCTGGAATCCAATGATCTATTAAGACGGACACACACAAAAAAAACTTTTTAACAGCCCCTAATTTCAAAATGTATAGCAGCCCCATAGAAGGAAAATCAAACTTTTCAGTGAAATAAGTTTAAATTTACCTGGAACCCCCACCCCATCCCAGCAATCCTAAAAAATAAAAGTGTCCCCACTCTAAACTTAAGGAAATACATGAAAACAAACTTTGCAAGCAAAAGAATGCTTAGGAATGTTGACTCGAATATCTAGTTCATCATACATTTCCTAAAACACGTCAAAAATAACATCAATAAAACCATTTATCAAATTAAATATCCCATAAAATAAACTCCTTAGTACTTTTACAGCCCATCTGGAGTAAGTTCAGTTGATGGAATAGCCAAAATGATGAAGTTGGACACCATGGCTAACCATTGATCGGCACTTTGCACACGTGACCTAGTAATGGCTGCGCCATTCTGAAACTCCCTCTCTCTGCCACAGAATCGTGTTCACACAAAAAACACTCATTTTTACAATATATTCACCATTTTAGTTGAATAACTTATAAACGAAATATTCAGATTCTTACCTGGAACTTAATAACTGGTACAGGCTTGGGTATTTCCCCGTCAGAAAACAATACTGACGTTTTGTTCATGGTATCACTTCAATCACACGTAACATGTGAAATAAAAGATGGTGACAGCCACAAAGCGAACCTCGTCTTTCATGTTGAAAAATTGGGCACTAGAAGGGGATTATCGTCAGAGGTTTTACTTGATATTTGGCAGAGATGTTCCAAAAATGTCAAAGATACTTTACATTTGACAGTTTTTGCAAAATAATTCAAGAAATCTTGGAAAATCGAGCCTATTTTATGAGGTCTATTTCACACGCTGAACCATGCGGAAAGCAGCTATGGATTGGAAAGTCGCTGAAGCTGTACTCGGACAGATGTGTTATGAATGAACTTTCCAAATATTGACTTCATCGGAGCTCTGCATCAGGTCCGGATCGTTCCGAAACCTTATGGGATGAGAAATACAATGTAGCTGCCGTTTTGGCAGTACCATGAGCTGGAACATGGCGACTCATCAGCATCAGTGTGCTGAGAGAGATATTACTGGTGCTACTTTACCAGTTGGTTTGGAGTACATGTAGTTTTTGAGCACATGTCATTATGAAATTTCACCTACATTACAAATAAACACTCCTTAACACAAATCTTAACAAAACTTAGAATATTACTGCATAGTTTAAAAATATAGCAATTTTAAAATGGTACATGTACGTTGACCAACACCGCTCAGCTGATTCTGTGTGTGAGCGACGTGCATGTAGTAATTTCAGGGTCTAATTCAGCGAAGTGTGATATGCCTAGCATAATTCTTGTTCATCCTTGACAATGAATATAAATATCCTACTCAGAAAGAGCACAAAAAAAGTTTTGTATCGACCATGTCCAGTTCTTGGTGCAATGGTGTATGACTGCACGTTTGTTTGTTAGCTTATGGACTACATGTAGTTGAAACAAATCTCCTTGAAAATCCAATGAAAGCAAACACGAGAAAATTCCAGATACAAAATTTGTCAAGAAAATCACTGTTTTTTGGCTGCATTAAATCTCAAGACTGGTTCAAAACCAATCACCACATATAAGCTAGCAAGCATGCGCCAACCTAATGCAGTGGCCTGGCTGGTTGAACTTGTTAGTTTAGATTTACATGTACATGTACCAGTATTGGTTAAATCCTTTGTGAACCATGAAACTATTTTCAAGCAGAGAATTTGCAGTCTGAAAACTTCAAAAACAAAATAGCTCTGGTAAAATTGGAAGGGTTGGCAGGTACGAATTCAGTAAATTTGCTGAATGCATGTGTTTATACATGTGTGCTGGTTAGGCATTAACAAGTACATGCACATACACATCTGAGAAAATTTTCATACTGTTCGCTGCCTTGTTAAGCTTACCTTACAATGTCCATGTGTTTCTTGTACTCTGTGTTATTAACTCCCATGACAAACATCGGTGCATCAGCTGAGGGTGCAGATATAATGACCTTCTTTGCACCAGCTTTAATGTGTGCTTCGGCCTTTGCCATGGTTGTAAAAACACCAGTTGACTCGACAACATACTCTGCTTCGGCTTCAGCCCAAGGAATCGCAGACGGATCCTTCCTGATTAATTAATAAAATGTGACACTTGTTATATGTGATTAACCACTTGCTGCCAGGGTTAATTTGAAGTTGCATTACGTAAAACCAGGAGATTTTCCATTTCAAAATTCTTCAAAAAACTTCAGAACTTCATTCACGGGACATTAACACCCACACAAACGACTGTCTGGTTGCTACTCTTATCTGACAGATAACATCTCTTGATGCCCGAGTACAGAGGAGTTTCACATTAGTGCCATTTGCGCATATCCACATCAAAACCGCTGCTCCCTGTGTTTAACTTCTTCGCGCGCGCCCGCAGAGTCGACACAGTACATGTACATGCAGTATCCAGTTCGTAAGTGTGATGCCACTTCAGTTTAAACCACGCCCACTGAACATGCAGATACAAAACCATCGCAAGTACCAGTACATTAGTTCACGGTAAATTGCTGTCATTTTTTCTTTTGATTTTATGTGTCGAGTTATCCTCAAAGACTCTTCCACAAAACGTTGCAGCCCAGAAAGTCTGAATTTAACATATTTTTATGTATTTTGCGTTTTGACTCCTTACTTTCAATAATCTGATCAGAATTGAAGCTGACACATATAGCCTTGTTTTCAAATGTGGAAGTGTGCAAATCGACACTAAAGTAGTAGGGATAAGACAGTTCTGCGCCATCCCCCCTTTTCACTCACCCATGCCGGGGTTTCCTAATTCACTCACCTTGACCTTTGACCTTACATCTGCACAAACAACCCCCAACGCTTCTACTACACAAACACTTTGGCTCTCAAACAAAGAAAAAGGGGATTTCCCTCGTTTTCCCGGTTGCTACAAGTCTCGACTTTCCCGGCCTGAACTCGTGACTTCTACTTAAAGCGTGGCTCTGTTCAAAGCAAAATGTGCTATGTTTACAACTGCCTTAAATAAACAGACTATATATATAAATAACAATATATAAAAAACATGTCAAGTCAAGTCGACAGAAAAAATGAGAAAAATTTTCAAAACCTATATATAAATAGAGACATGAACAACCCACAACACAGGCCTCTATTATTGACCTTTAATCGATTTAAGAAGGCGTTTTTAGAAGATTTTGTTAAGCAGTATAACATTCTATTACCGGCACCCAAGCGTAAATTTCACACCAAACCCGAGCTCATTGAAGCCATCCAAACAAACCAAAGGCAATTCAGGTACATGTACCTCCCGTGTCAGTCATATCGCCAGCTGTTGAAAACGGTCCAAGACAACGGCATTCCATTTGCGCACAAAGACAGACTTGTCAAACAAGATCTCATCAAAGCAATTAAAGCTTACACTCAACCCAAGGAAATTGCAGAAGTCGACATTAGAAACGTGAGGCGCTTTCAGGGTAACTGACGCAAATGGGAGTTGATACCCAGTTTCTTTGAATATGACCTTGTGCACTTTTTTGATTTTTACAAAACTTTCATCGAGAAGAAAGCGTTGGCGGAGTTAAAAGAAGTGGTTCTTACAAATTGCAAACGGCCCTAAAAGTGCAGTTTAGATTGGAAAAACCTGACCGAACTGAACTTGGCGTATTTACATGTACCTTCCTGAGCGAAAATAAATTAGTTGCAAATCAAGCCGACGTAAAAAAGGCACTCGCAGAACAAAGGCAAAAACAGATAGAGGACGTGGAGGCTCATACACAACGCGGATCGGGGTGGATCTTTGATAAAGTTGACGCTTTTTACATCAACGTAGTTAAATACATTCCAGTAGGTGCCACGTATATTCCATTACCTGCGCAACTGGCGTATAAGAAAGCAATCATAAAAGTCCAAAACAACAACCAGCAGCGTATAAGATGGGCACTGAGAGCAGCTTTAAAATTATATTCAGGCCACGTAAAAAGTCAAATAGAAGTTAATCCAAAATATAATATACATGTACACGACAAGCGCACCTCGACTTACACAGAATTAGACAACTTAAATTTTACAACCATAAGCTTTCCGACACCCATCTCACAAATCCTGCACATCGAATTGCAAAACAACTCGGCAATCAACGTGTTTGGTTACGACAAAAAAGACGGTCTTTATATTCTTTACAAAAGTAAGCGCTTAGGTGAACCAATCAATTTACTGTACTTTACCCAAGGTGCAAAGAGCTACTACTGCTGGATTAAAAACTTTTCTTGCTTGATGGGAGAAACTGATAAACATGACAGTAAAAAATACTGGTGCTTTAACTGCATGTCGCATTTTCGAACAGGAGAAAAGTTACGCAGACACAAAGACGATTGCCAAGGGTTAGATGCGGCAGCCTGTAAAGTCGAATTACCCGCCGAAGGCAAAAACATTTTACAATTTGAGAACTATAAGAACAAACAAGATGCAACTTTTGTCATTTATGCTGATCTTGAGTTGGTTTTAGAAAACTTACCGCCAACAGATACAAACACGGTTAAAACCCAGATTCACAAACCCTGAGGCTACTCATACTCGGTCGTGAGATGCGACAGTAAATGCACTAGCCAAAAGACGTACAGAGGCCAAGACGTGGCTAACAATTTTGTCAGGTCTCTTTCTGAGGAAGCACACAAGATCAACAAAACATTTGAAAACAAAAAGCCGTTGGTTTGGTCGCGCGAGTTACAAAAAATCTACGAAAATTGTAACCGCTGTTGGATCTGTGAAAAGCTTATCGACAAGACAAAAGAATCTCAGTGTCAGTGCTCAATTCCAAATGAACCAAAAACAAAGGACGAAAAAGCTGCCTTTAGTTCAGTTGATTAAAAAAGCGGTTACAAAGACTTTATTTGCACGATGTGTACAAAGCCCATCAACAAGTTTAGAAAGGTCAGAGATCATTGTCACGTGACAGGTAAGTATCGAGGCCCCGCGCACGCCAGTTGTAATCTGAAATTAAGAGTCGTTCCATATCAAACACCCATTCCGATGATTTTACACAACTTGGAGAAATATGATGCACACTTAATTATGCAAGGCGCTCACGAGTTTAACGGGGAAGAAATAAAATTAATTGCTAAAAATACCGAGAATTATATTTTGTTTTCGTTTGGCCAACTTAGGTTCTTAGACTCGTTTCATTTCATGGTGGCTTCACTAGATCGACTGGTTAAAAATTGTTCACCTGATGATTTTAACGTACTTTGCGAAATGTTTCCAAATAACACCGACATGCTGTTAGAAAAGGGAATTTACCCGTACGAATACATAGACTCGTTTAATAAATTTGAAGAACAACAACTCCCTCCCCAATCTGATTTTTACAGTTCTCTAAAGCAGTCTACCGTGACCGAAAAAGAACACGCCTGAGCACAAACAGTATGGCACACTTTTGGTTGTAAAAACCTAGGTGACTACCAAGACCTATACGTGGAAACGGACGTGTTATTGCTAGCGGGCGTTTTTGAGAACTTCCGCGTTTTTGAGAACTTCTGTAAACAACATTATGGCCTTGACCCAGCTAACTATTACACGTCTTCGGGCCTATCGTGGGATGCATTGTTAAAGCACACAGGTTTTAAACTGGAACTACTGACAGACATTGATAAGTACCTGTTCTTTGAAAAGGCAAAAAGAGGTGGTATATCTAACGTGGGTGCAAAGCACTATGCAAAGGCGAACAACCTGGGGCTACCTGACTACGACCAAATCAACCAGAGTCTCATATCATGTATTTAGACGCAAATAACCTGTACGGCTGGGCCATGAGTCAGCCTTTACCCGTGGACGAGTTTCAGTGGGTTGAAAACTTAGACAAATTTACTCCCAAGTTTTTTCATAAAATTCCACCAAATGACATGCGTGGGTAAATGTTTGAAGTGACTTTAGACTATCCGCAAGACTTGCACGACAAACACAACGACTTCCTGCTAGCACCTGAAAATATGTCAATTCCCAATGAATGGTTTTCAAGCTACCAGTTAACGTTTAACGGTCAAGACAAAGTAGCGGCTGAATAAGCAATTTCGGATTTGACTTTGAGGTCGTTACGAACCGAGACCTGGCGCAAGCTTTGAGGAGTAAACACAAGAGACTTGTCTACTACCTTTTCGACAGAATTCATTCTTGGAAGAAGCAGGCGGTCAATAAGTCGGATGCGCTATGGAATATTAATATCGATCAGACGATTAAGAGCTTGAAAGGCATTTTGATTTTGTTCAAAGACCAGGCTGTTAAAAATCCTCTACGATTTTATAACTCGCATGTCACAAAAACAGTCGTCATGGTCGAAGGTAAACCCAACCAACTCTATTCCCAAGGGCTATTCGAATATCAGCATGGGCCAGAAATTAATGAGTATTTCGGCGATTCGGACACCGAGTCGGCAGGAGTGGTCGTAAAAGATTTAAACTTAAAAGGGGTTGATATGGCCGAATATTTGAAAGAAAAATATGGTCTGTGGTTAGATTTTAGAAGTTCCGATGATAATTTGGCGCATGGTTCGGGTAGGCCACTCGGGGGTGGAGGAGATATATCGATTCAAATGGAGCGACAAGCAGGGGCCTTTGATGTATGTTGTTGTTATCGACGCTCAGTTGACGTTGGAAGACAGTAATTTCAAGAGACTTGTTTATTAAGTAAAGTTTAAATTAAAATGAACCAGATGTACAAGAAGCCACACTGTGCTTTGATCGTAGGTAAAACTGGGTCGCGTAAAACTCAGTGGATTTTGGATATTTTGGAAACTGAATATAGGTTTGCGTTTGAACCGATAGTAATTATATGTCCCACGTTGTCTAAAAACAAAACTTATTTGGGGCGGCTGTGGGTCTATGCGGACGACAACGTTTATTTATGCGACCTGGATCGGGAACAACTCGAGCTAAACGAGGCAATTGAACCTTATCAAAAAGTGTTTGATGGTATACACACTTTATTTATAATTGACGACTGCACGGCTGACCAGGACTGCTATCTTTCACTGTAAAGATCGAAATTCATTTGACCCATGTTTAACTGAAAATGATGTAGTACCTGATTGCAAATGGAAAACGACTAAAAAGCATCTGCGA